ACAGTGTCTTGAAAATGAACTAAAAAAAAAACTGCATTGGGTTCATAAAAAAAAGAAGCTATTTTAAAGATAAACACACTTCTGACTTGCGTAACATCAACAATTACCCAAAAGACGAGCCCTTTTCAAGGCACGGCAGCCATTTTTAGGTCAGGTTGAACATGCCACATCAAGATGTGCGTTTGCATAATGAAGTCAGCGTTGTAGAACCATCGGAACTGTGGCAGGGATTTGGTGGCTTTAACATGTCAAGATTCGGTTCCTGGAGATTAGTAGAAATGCTTGATTTAGAGTTCTGCTATGTTTTTATTTTCTTGACCAAATTCAACCCCGATTTAGTCTACAATTTCACTTTAATTTAGATGTACATCCTTTAATAAGTAGACCTTTTTTGATCTTGTTTGAAATAAAGACTAAACTGACAAATTTCCACAAAGATTAAGGAGTTTAAAAGATGTGTACCCATTATATTTAGAAATAAAAAATAATTTTCTACCGCAAGTCTTTGAAAATGTAACTGGAAGATGCACTGAAGGCACGTCCTCCAGAGGAAAGTGCCCTATTTGGCAGATTTTCTGAAACTGTTCCAGATCTGTCTCAATATTTAATGACCTCCCTCCCACTTTGCAACAAAGTTGAGTAAAATTTGGTATTTTCTAAAACAATCTGAAAAAACAGAAGGAGAAACAGAAGTGTTAATCCTCTTATGGTGGCTTGCATAAGTATTCATACCTCTTGTCTGGTGTCTTTTATGACTTTATATTTCTGTGTTTTGTGATATAAAGCACTTTGAGCTGTTTTGTTGCTGATTAATGTGCTATACAAATTAACTTTTTCACACCAACCACCAGTGTTGTGTTCAAGACCACCTAACCCGAGACCGAGACAAGACCAAGACTTTTAGGGTCCGAGACCAAGTCAAGACCAAGACCAACTTCGAGTACCACAACACTGCCAACCACCAACTGTAAAATATTTCACTTTGTAAACCAACACTGAGTTTAAAAGAAGGAAAACAACACAGTCAGAATTTTTTTTTTTTATAAGTTTATACTCAAGCCACTTTAACCTGACATCCCTAAATGAAGACAAATTGTGTCTGGTCTAAATTTGGTTGATTTGACTTCAGAAAGAGAGAAAAAAAAAGGGAGGAATGTGTTTTTTGATTTCAATTGTATGTGGGCAGTAAATTAAAACTGCTGAACACATCTCACACGTTGTATTTGTATTATTTTATATTAGCAGGGTAAGTTTGTTGAGAATAAATTCTTAATTTCAAGTGTATAAAAAAACAATCCATGTAAAGCACGGTGGTGGCAGCATCAGGCTCTGGGAATGCTTCTGCTCAGCAGTGACAGAGATGGATGTTGAAAACTAACATTAAATGCTACTTCATTGATCTCAAACTCTGTGGCTGTAATGGAATGGGAAAAAGTTGAATACTTTTGCAAAGCAGCACTGTAAAAATTACTTGCAAGCTAATGTTCTGAGTTCCGCCCTCTACATGCAGGCCTTGGCTCCACGCAGCCTGTCAAACATTAAACAGCATGTGGAGATAAAAACAATGCTAACAGGGAAAAAAACCAAACACGTGGCCTGAGACGGAACAAGGCGAGGGGAAAACAAAAATGAAATAGCTGGCAGAAGGTAGACTGTACATACTGTACCCTCAGAGGTGGCACGCTGCCCAGACGGGCGAGCTGCCAAATCTTCTGTAGCTACAACAAGCTGAGGGAGAGACAGACAGAAGGACAGGAAGACAGGCAGAGAGAGAGAGAGAGAGAGGGCGAGCAAGGCAGCGGTGTCTGAAATGCTCCACATCCACAACGCGCCGCGCATACCAACAAGCCTCTCGCCTCATCTCCACAATATTCTGGCTTTTGTGAAGCGAGCTGACGGAGTATAGCGACAGGAGGAGAGGTGGGGGCAGGTGGTTCGGAGGGGAGGAAACAGGCTCAAGCTGAGGGTTTTGGGACTGGGTGAGGTGTCGTCATTACAAAGAGACATGATAAAAATCCAGACGTGGTGTCAGACCCAGATAAAGCCCTGAGAGTCAAACGGTGGAGGCGGAGGAGCAGAAGAGGAATAAAAAAAAAGCTAAAAAGAAAAAAAAAAAGAAAAAAAAAAATAAAAATACAAAAGAAAAAGACAACAAAGAGTATCAGAGAGGCTCTGTCTCTGCGCCGTCTCTTCCCTAACCGTCGCCCGTCTCGACTGAAGCGCTCGGCTTGCCTTTCACTCCAGACCAAAGCGGCGATGAATCAACAGTGATGCGCGCAACAGCACAGGTTGATATCGCGCATCGACACAGCCTTGCATGGAAAGAGGAAAGAAGAAGAAGAAGAAAAAAGAAGCCAAAGAAAAAGTTTGTGCACTTGCTGCCACAGATGCTAAAAATACACTGCCCACATCTTCCGCTCATGGTGGGGCGTGCGGTTCTTCCTCGAGTTTTCACCGTTCTGTTTTCCACTTGATCATCACTTTCATTCAATGACAGCAGATTTAAACTCTGACTCATTATCAACCTGTTGATATACATGTTCGAGTCAAAGCCCTTCCTGAAGCTTCACAATAAACAAAAAAAGATACAAATATTCCTTATTGTTACCTCATAGGATAAGAATAAGGGATAAGTGTCTAAAGCATTCCTTATGAAATGTGCAGCATCATCTCTACAATAAATTTAGTGATTTTTAATTAGCAAATGAAAAGAGAAAAACATGACATGAAAGGAAACAATCACTGAAAATGTTCTTTAAATCACTGAAAAGAAACATTAATAACACAAAATACAGAAGTTAACACTATTTTCATTTTGGGTTACTATTCTGGTGCAAAAATATATTTTGTTTCAGCAATTCATTTTAAAAACTAAAAACTCATATGGATTCATTAAACCCAGAGACATATTTTAATCATTTATTCCTGTCATTTTACTGATTATGACTTACAGAAAGTTTAGTTGGAAGAAAATATCATTTGGAAAGCGACAGCAGCAATGATGCACAGATACAGTAATTTATCCAAAAGGAGCTCTGACCGAGCACTAAGTGCAGATACATTACAGAACCCAGGCAAACTTTTCAAAAGGCACTCGTTTCTGCATTAAAAATCTTTTTTTTTTATTATTTATCCAATGCAGTATGCTAAACTGAATTTTGTATTTTCATTAGCAGAAGTTCTCTAGACTACAAATTCATTAGCATGGCTCCGTGATGACAGATCTCTGCACCAGAGATGTTCATTTTTCTCCCAGTGAGTGAACCCACCATGCCTCACCGCTGCAGGTCTCTGTGACAAAATGTTTTGATTTAGGGTTATTATTATTATTTAGGGTGATTTAGGGCTTCTAATATTTTGCATTAAATCAGTAATTTATTTACCAATCTAAAACGCAATAGTTAATTCAAATCCTTTTTTACTTCTTTTGATATATGTTTTTAATAAGGAGAATATCTGATGTGTTATTTTTATCCAATTAGAATTTTACTGTGCAAGTAGATTTTCAGTGATGAAGAAAGGGAAAGCTCTTGAACTTTGACTTTAAACTAATAATAATAATAATAATAAAAAAAACAGACTTTTGCAATCGTCTATTTATCCAGAAAAATTGATATTGGCAGATCATAGCTTTACAAAATCATCAATCGATGCACCGAGATCAAACATTTGGGAGTCTTGGTGTTTAAGGATTCTAAAACTTTTGTAGAAAGTAAAACAATTAAAAGTAAATCTAAAACATATAGTTTCAATAATGAACATATATTAACAGCCTTAAAAATGCCTCTCAGTTGATCAGAGGAGAAGTATACAGTAATGACGGACAGGAACATAATCATTTGTAAACTATTTGCTTTCCATTGCAGAGCTTCATTCTTTTTGCTCTGACAAGTGATTGAGAGGCTGGGGGGGTTTGGTAGTGGTGGTGTGTGTGTGTGTGTGGAGGGGGGGGAATGCGGGGGGGTAGGTGGGAGGTTGGTTGTCACATGTTTGCGCAGTGAGGATTGTGAAAACGGGATGTAATTTAAAAATAAACAGTGAATATTTGCTCGGAGCAACTTCTGCTTGTGACACACTGAGCTGTGTGCTGAGCCAATTCACTGGCACAGCGTGAGTTTGTCATTCATCTTTGTCATAAACATAGCAAGGCTGTCAGCATCAGTGTCAGTCACTGTTAAACTGCTGGTGAGACACAAACAAACAAATGATTCCTGTAATTATTCTCTTCAGAATCCAGGATTGAGAAGTGGGAGGGTTGGGGACGTTGCTGTGTCCCAAACAGGGACAACTTAAGCACCTTGATGTTTAAATTGAGGCATTTAAGTCTTTGGCTTTTACTGATTTCATAGTCCGTGAGGAAGGGAATTGGGGAACTGTTAGCCCCTTAAAAAAAACAATTAAAACTACATGTGGTTGAGGACCAGACGTCAGTTCATCTTATAACGTTTAAAGCCCCAGAGGTGTAGGGAGACTGGATGGTGATGAGGCTCAGGGCGGCTCAACATTACAGGAAGCTCATTAGTCAGCGGCACTCATTGGTTTGTTCAGCTTCCAGGATGTCATCGTTATCTATGTCTACAATCTCTCTACAACACCCGCGTGCTGCAAAAGCAAGATATTTCAAAGACCTAGTGATGCTGTACACCATCAAGATTCTGGGCCATCCTTGGCCCTCGTTGCTAAAAGTTTGGACACCCCCGCTTTAAAGAATTGTCCAAAATGTGATTTATGCCTGCTGTTTGAAGTATTTTTAACCACTTTCTACTGCTCTTTTCCCCCCTTTTCTTCCTTGTAATAAAGCATCAACATAAAGGCACAGTGAGTTTTATACGTTTATCATTTGTAATTCCTTCAAAGCTGATGAAATAAGTGATTTAACATTTGTTTTGGTAAAATAATTGCTTGAGTGGATCGCTGCTGTGTGCAGTGGCGATGGTCCCATAATGTCAATGCTCTTGGCTATAGTGCAAGATCTATAATAGTGTTTATTTTATCGGTACCTGAATGGGAGAGCAAGTGCATCCGTAGACGGAGACTGTCGAGAAAGCTCTTCCCGCAAAGCTCACAGCTGTAGGTCTTCATTCCACTGTGCATCTTTCTGTAAACGAGAGAAAAAAAAACAGAGTTATACCAACTGTACCCCATTGGTAAGAGAGTCAATTGCAACAGGATCAGCTTTACAAGCAAGTCAACTGGTTTAGAATTCAGTTTCAACCTTGAACCATAACATTTCATCAATATCTGCTCAAAAAGTATATTTTTCTCTACATATTTCTTTTGTTGCACCTACATCTATAGTCAAGGGTAAGGTGAAAAATTAAAGACAAGAGTTCTCCAAATTATTTCATGTATTAAGAAAAAAACTTTAAATTTAACTTTTTAGACTTGATTACTGTCAGACATGAAGAATCAAGACAACACAAAGTAGGCCCAAAGATCTCAAAAGAGCAACACATCACATCTCACTCTCAAGAAATTTAAAAATGGACCAGAAATGGATTCTAAGTTTGTTCTAATTCATTTTCTGTGTTGCAATAATAGGAGTCTCTCTGCATAATAATCTAAAAATTAATCTAAATAGCATAATATTGGTCTAAATAGTGAGTAATCTACAGTTTCTAAAAAATAAGATAAAGTGTGATTAATAAACTAGAGTCTCTGGATTCCAAGTTTATTCTAATTCTTTTTCTGGAATTAAGTATCTTAATTATCAAAGTATCTTGGATTAAACCTCATTTTAATTGGTTAGAAATCTGACCCTTGACTCAATGATCAGATTATCTCTCCTGATCAAACCAAAGTAATTTTAACCAATAATCTCATAGTAAATACTTATTAGTCACATGACCATCTTTCTGACAAAACACAATGAGCAGATAATAGAAAGTGGACAAGGCAGATTGAAAATGGCTCCAACACACTGCTCCAGTTTTCACTTGAAAAAGCCAGATGTTCAACAAAGAAAAAAACAAACAAACAGTAAAACCTTTTTTCGAACTCAAAGTGGCAAAAAGTTCAGCACTCTGTGTGCAGGACATGCTCTGATCTCTAATGGAGTCACTTTAAGTTTGTTTTTTTGGGAGCTTTGTTATTTTGTGAGACGATGTTGCACTTTCATCAGCAGATAAAAATAACACTCAGTTCAACAACTACAGGTCAGTGGAGCTCGACTGGAAACTGTCAAAGCAAAATTCAAGCAAGGCTGCAGCAAATTGAATCAGAATGCTTCCCTCACGCAAAGTTGCAGGACGGCTAACAGCTTTAGGAGAAGGGTCAATCCCTGATTGACAATAAATCGTCTATTTCCAAATGGACAGTCATTAGGCTGACAGGCAGTTTAGGTGCATGAGGTCAGACAAAACGAAGGGTCAATATTTGATTGTGTGGTAAAGGCCTTGAAGGTTAGGTAACTAAATAACAGACCTAACACTAAAAACCGCCTGTGTTGCGAAATCCTCAAGGACCCCACGGCTCAGTGAAAAGCATATTATTCTTGAGCGATATCTAAAACAGCGCTCTAAAGCAATTAAGGTGACAAGAATTGCCAAACAACTGCCACGGAGCCTTAAGCCTCCTAAATACTTCAAATGCTTCATCTCGAGAGCGGCAGCACTCGCACGCCCACGAATGAGATGACTGTCAAGACGGTGCACTTTCAGAGTTTAATCTTCATCACAGGTCACCGTCTCACATTGCTAGATCATATTGGGGGAATCATAACCAAGACAGCTGGCGAAACCAAAATCGCAACATGAAAAGGAAAGGCTTATGATTCAACGTTCAGGTGAGAAAAAAAATGACAATGTCAAACAGATTTCACAATCCCTCTGTGAAGTTGGGTGGCAGAGACCGATCAGCCGAGCGAGTTCTTGGGGAAACAATGCCCTTGATAAGAGATCCGCTCAACTTGGGCGAGATGACAGCCATCCATCACGCCGGCTCTCCAAGTCTCTGAGGAGGAGGTGGTGCTGCTCTCCCAAAACATGACTGATTGATGTCAGATGTCGAATGCAAATTGATTTACAGCTTTCTTGTGCACCTCAAATCAGACGGAGGAAGACAAGCGCAGTGACGAGACAAAGACAGGCAGAGATTATAGCGCTTTCCCCTGAGGTGGCTGCAGGAGTTGAAGCGGCCAAGCAGAGTCCTCTCAATTAATTGCTGCATAAAAGCCTTGAAACTGGATGAGAAAATGCTAAGAGGACACATAAGTCAGGGTAACCATTTTGTGGTTGAAATTTGAATAGAGTGACTGCTGTTGGGAAGACACAAGTCGATGAAATGTTCTATAAATACTAAATCTGTCCCCGAAAAAGGAGGAGACAAAATCTTCAGAGAAATAGTTATATGGAGAAGGAGTATGATAATAGTTCAAACACCAAATATACCTTGGTATGAAAAAATACACACAACGTAAACCGCCTAAGGAAGATGAATGATGTTCATGGATTGGCTGCTTTGTAAATGACACCTAATATTATCTAAAGTAGCATTACACCGACATATTTCAGCTTCCCAAGTTGTCGTTTTTTGTTTTTTTTTTTTCCTTATATTTTTGATATGCTGTATGAAAGACATTCATGGGCAGGCAATTTTTCCTTGAGTAGTTTGTAGTCACAGTCTACCAAAAAAAATCCACAAATACTGAGCTGCAAATAGACAAGGGTCCACCCACCACAGACTAGCATGTATGGAAGATCCAAGTCATGTCACCCGGCTCATACGGCATCTGACCTCAAGTTGAGCTCGAGCAGCTGAGGATCCATGTGGAGGCAGCCTCCTGATGTCATTTGGGTTCCACCACTAGGTGCTCATTGGTGAACTCCCAGCGCCAGGCCAGGCCAGGCTCCATGAGGGGAACCAAAGTTAACCATTCTGCTTGAAGCACACTAAGAATCATCTTCGTTTATCCAGTTTGTTCAACCTCCCCAATGAGAACAAGTTTCATGAGAGACCCTACCTGTCACCAAAGATCGTAAGCATTCGATTCAAACCCAGTGAACATGGCAAAATTGAGAACTTTTTTTTTTTTTCAAATTTTGTCATTTCCATCAATCTTTTCTCATGTGATTCTTCGAAATGCCCCCCCAAAAAAGGACATCAATGGAAACACAGTTAAAGAAGAGGAGCAACATTTGCTTTTCTATAAATCAGATCCTGATGCATCTCTCTCCAGCTCCATTCTACCATCACTCGCTACCAGGACACCATAATACTTGAACTAGATATAGGATATATTTGATGTTTTATTGAATTATAGCAGCACCATGTCAGCAATTTAAACCCTCTACTCCAGTTTCAATCAGAATACCATAGCAGAGGAATCAGACAGTGAGGAAGTGTGGATTCAGACATATTACATGTCCAACAGCTGCAGTTGCAAACATAGTGCTACCATTCAGCCGCCGTGTCACAGCCACATTGCATTCCACATAAGCAACTGTCACTCGTACTCGGGAATGCTCACCTCCCTGTGGGGGGGAAACAAAACAGCTGCACTCGTACTCTGCTCTTGCACATTTTCTCTAATTAACTGAACCGAGTCCTGTGATTATCCATGTTGCAGGTAGTGTGCGATGAAATCATCAGAAATGAGTGATTTTAGATGGTAGGTCATCCATCTCCACCGGTGATACAGCAACCTGAGCAAAGCGTCAAGAGGGGGTCAAACGTGAGGTACTCACTTTTACGCCGATAAGAGGGGAAACACACGTAAGCGGCAAGCAGCAACACACACAGAGCACAAAGGCTTTCTAAAGCCTTTTGTGTCCTGCCTCAATCTGACCATTGTGCCCCCCAGACAGAGCACCGATAAGGCATGGATGGTCTTATTAAGGGCACTCAAAGTGGAACCAGCGCTTCGTTTTGCTTCTTTCGCTCTCTAAATGTAGCGCTGACGAGCAGAGGGTTCTGTCTGCAGCTGAGAGTGTGTTAAATTTAACAGCAACAGCCAGCACTGCTCAGTGAAACAGCACATTTCTTGATGTTGAACAGAATGAAAACAGCGCCTGGTAAAATAATCCTGTCTTTGAAAAGTAGGGTTTAGGACCATTAGCAGCTTGGCCCGGCTTACGCGCCAGGAATAAAAGCTACATTACAGATGTAAGGTGTAGGTTCCCGTCAAGAACAAAAACTTTAAAATCCAAAACGTAGAGTGAAACTATTGCCAAAATGTCCACTGTAATCAAGTCAACTCACAGAACGGATGATCAAACAGACAGTCGGAGGGATTCACATTTTAAACGACGGAATCAGGAACAAAGTCTGGAAATACAAATATTTTTCCAAAGTTTATTTTCCACTTGGACGCTTTTCCAGTCATGGGACATTCTTGAATCAAGATTTTTCCAAAGTGAGGAGGAAAACCCAAACAAACCTCCAGACAGCACTGCCAGGGAAGGACCAATATTTGTTAATGAAAAGACCTCAATGGTGCTTCCAGTTCGATTCATTTATTGATCTTTAAAAGACATTAGAAAATCAAATCACACTATAATTGTCTGCTCATGTCTTGCTTCTGAGATATATAGCAGAAGGTGCATGAGTGTGTGTGTGTGTGTGTGTGTGTGTGTGTGTGTGTGTGTGTGTGTGTGTGTGTGTGTGTGTGTGTGTTTTGTCTGCGCGGTGGGAGGGACGGAGGCTGATTTGAAACAGACTGACTGTAGCCATTAAGGAAGTTCTCATAAAACTCTCTGAGGCCATTTACTCAGTTAATAATCAACTTTGTCCAACAGTCACTTTTGACAGCCGCAGTAAATTTGAAATTTATGTCAACAGAACATATGCTGATCACCTCGTGCGGTGTGCCTCCTCGTAAAACGCAGCCTCAACCAAGGGCTGTTTGACTTCACTTGTGTGTGCGACTGAAATGTGAGCCGATTACAGGCCCGTGTTATTGAGCCGTAACAGCTTGCCTCGTGTAATTCAGAAGTTTTTCCTTTTTATTTTTTTATTTTTTAACCGCCTCATATCGCCGCCGGACTTGGCGGGGCATAAATCATAACTACTGCTACATTCACTGAAGGAAACACACACAGGCTCCCCACCCGCCCTCTTTTTCTTACGATAGCTACTAAGGTAAGATAAGGTAACCTGCCTGACAGGATGAAACAAGAAAAAAACGTAAACAGAGACATAAAAACAAACAATAAAGATAATATG